ACCCTGTCACACACAGGACACTCCTACACACAAACCCTATCACACAGAAGACACCCCCTACACAGACCCTGTCACACACAGGACACCCATACACAGACCCTGTCACACACAGGACACCCCTACACAGAACCTGTCACACACAGGACACTCCTACACAGACCCTGTCACACACAGGACACCCCTACACACAGACCCTGTCTCACACAGGACACTCCTATACAGACCCTGTCACACACAGGACACCCTTACGCAGACCCTGTCACACACAGGACACCCCTACACAGACCGTCACACAAAGGACAATCCTACAGTCACACACAGGCCAATCCTACACACCCTGTCACACACAGGACACCCCTACACAGACCCTGTCACACACAGGACACTCCTTCGCACAGACCCTCTCACACACAGGACACCCCTACACAGACCCTGTCACACACAGGACACTCCTACACACAGACCCTGTCACACACAGGACACCCCTACACACAGATCCTGTCACACACAGGACACCCCTACACACACATCCTGTCACACACAGGACACCCCTACACAGACCCTGTCACACACAGGACACCCCTAACACGGGACCCTGTCACACACAGGACACCCCTACACACAGACCCTGTCACACACACAGGACACCCCTGCACACACCTGTCACACACAGGGTACCCCTACACAGACCCTGTCACACACAGGATTCCCCTACACACATACCCTGCCACACACAGGACACTCCTACACACAGACCATGTCACACACAGGACATTCCTACACACAGACCCTGTCACACACAGGACACCCTTACACACAGACCCTGTCACACACAGGACATTCCTACACACAGACCCTGTCACACACAGGACACCCCTACACACAGATCCTGTCACACACAGGACACCCCTACACACAGGGCACTCCTACACACAGACCCTGTCACACACAAGACACCTCTACACACAGATCCTGTCACACACACAGTACACCCCTGCGCGCACACCCTGTCACACACAGGACACCTCTACACACACATCCTGTCACACACAGGACACCCTTTCACACAGACCCTGTCACACAAAGGACACCCCTGCACACACCTGTCACACACAGGGTACCCCTACACAGACCCTGTCACACACAGGACACCCCTACACACAGGGCACCCCTACATACAGACCCTGTCACACACAGGACACCCCTACACACAGGCCCTGTCACCTACAGGACACCCCCCAAACAGGACACCCCCACACACAGGACACCCCACACACAGGACACCCCCAACACAAGGACACTTCCACACAGGACACCCACACACACAGGAACCCCCCCACACACAGGACACCCCCACACACACAGGACACCCCCACACACACGGGGACACCCCCCACACACACAGACACCCCCCCAAACCCCAGGACCACCCCCCAACACAGGACCCCCCACACACACACAGGCCATACCCACACACAAAAACAAACCCTAAAACGGACACCCATATACACAGAACCCCACCACACATACGGGAAAACCCCCCCAGACACGGGGACACCCCCCAGACACGGACACCCCACACACAACACTCCCACACAACACCCCCAAAACACACAGGACACCCCCCCAACACGGGGACACACCCACCCCAGGACACCCCACATAGGACATCCCCCAACACTAAGGACACCCCACACACAGGACTTTCCCATACCCCAGGCACCCCAACACACGCAGGACACCCTCACACAGACCCCCCACACAGGAAAATCCTACACACAGACCCTGTCACACACAGGACACCCCTACACAGACCGTCACACAAAGGACAATCCTACAGTCACACACAGGACAATCCTACACACCCTGTCACACACAGGGCACCTCTACACAGACCCTGTCACACACAGGACACCCTACACAAGACCCTGTCAAAACCACAGGACACCCTACACACAGCCCCTGTCACCTACGGACCCCCCTACACACAGACCCTGTCACACACAGGACACCCCTACAGATATACCCTGTCACACACAGGACACCCCTACATACAGAACCTGTCACACACACGACACCCCTTCACACAGACCCTGTCTCAAACAAGACACCCCTACACACAGGACACCCCCCAACACGGACACCCCACCACAGGACACCCCACACACAGGACATGCCCACACACAGGACACTGCCCCACAAACAGGACACTGCCCCACCCCAACAGGACACTGCCCCCACACGGACACTACCCCACACACAGGACACTCCCCCCAACACAAGACACCTAACACGGACACCCTTTAAACACAGGGACCCCACCCCCACCCCACGGAAGAACCCCCAGACACTGGACATCCCCCAGACACGGACACCCCAAAACACACAACATCCCACAACACAGGACACACACACAGGACACACACACAGGATACCCACACAAAAGGATACCCACACACACAGGACACCCCTACACACAGGACACCCCCACACAGGACACCCCCACTAGGAACCCCAAACACAGGACATCCCCCAACACTCAGGACCCCCCCATACACACAGAACCCCCCAACACACGCAGGACACCACACACAGGACACCTCACACAGACCCCACACACAGGACAACCCCCACACACAGGACCCCCCAAACACACGGACGCCCCACACACAGGACACCCCCCACACACAGGAAACCCCCCCCACACACACAGGACACTCCACACACACAGGACACCCCCACACACAGGACACCCCCACACACACAACCCCCCCCACACATAGGACACTACCCCACACACAAGACACCCAAAACACGGACACCCAAAATATACAAAACCCCCACCACACATCGGGAAACCCCCAAAACCAGCGGACATCCCCAGACACGGAACCCCCACACAAACCTCCCACACACAGGACAACCCACACAGGACACCCCCACTTTGGATATCCCCAACACTCAGGAACACCCTACACACAGGACATCCCCATACACTCAGGAACACCAACACACGCAGGACACCACACGCAGGACACCCTCACACAGACCCCCACACACAGGACACTCCTACACACAGACCCTGTCACACACAGGACACCCCTGCGCGCACACCCTGTCACACACAGGACACCCCTACACACAGACCCTGTCACACACAGGACACCCCTACAGACCCTGTCTCACACAGGACATCCCTACACGCAGACCCTGTCACACACAGGGCACCTCTACACAGACCCTGTCACACACAGGACACCCCTACACACAGACCCTATCACACACAGGATACCCCTACACACAGACCCTGTCTCAAACAAGACACCCCTACACACAGGACTTTCCCCACAACACATTGGTACCCCCACACACAGGACACCTCACACCAGGACCCCCACACAAAGGACACTCCCCCACACACAGGACACTGCCCCACACACAGGACACTACCCCAAAACACGGACACTACCCCACACACAAGGACACCCTAAACGACAACCATATACACGGACCCCCCCACCACACGGAAGAACCCCAGACACTGACATTCCCCAGACACGGACACCCCACACACAGAACACTCCCACACACACGGGACACACACACAGGATACCCACACACAGGACACACACAGGATACCCACAGGATACCCATACACACAGGACACCCCTACACACAGGACACCCCACCCAGGACACC